TTTTTATTCCATTGAAAATATGATGAATTCAAATATTCATACTCAAAATATTTATTAGGCCTCAATGGCAGATCTTGTTCAAATTTTGGGTCAATATACGATTTTTCGAATTTCTAAGAAATTTACGTTATTGCGTTATATTAAAAGTATTTTGTCAGAAAACTGATCGAGTTTTTTCATATTTCTTTGTTTCATTGGAAATATGATGAATTCAGATATCCATACTAATAATATTTTTTGAGCCCCAAAAGCAGATCTTGTTCAAATTTCGAGTCAATTTAACAATTTTTCGAATTTCTAAGAAATTTACGTTATTTCGTTATATTAAAAGTATTTTGTTAGAAAACTGATTGAGCTTTTTTCCTTTTTGTTTACTTAATTGGGAAGATGATGAATTCATATATCTATAATCTAAATATTTTTCAAGCCCCAAAGGAGATCTTGTTCGAATTTTGGGTCAATTTAACGATATTCAGGATTTTTAAGAAATTGACGTTATTGCGTTGTATTAAAAGTATTTTGTGAGAGAACTGATCTTTTTTTTCGAATTTCTTTATTTGATTGGAAAGATGTCTGAGCCATAAATTCATACCCAAAATATTTTTCGAGCCCTAAAGGCAGATCTTGTTCAAATTTTGGATTATTTTAACAATGTTTCGAATTTTTAGGAAATTTACGTTCTTGCGTTGTATTGAAATTATTTTGTTAGAAAACTGATTAATTTTTTTCCGAATGTCTTCAATTGATTGGAAAGATGTCTAAGTTATAAATCCATAACCAAAATATTTTTGAGCCCTAAAAGCAATCTTGTTCAAATTTTGGGTCACTTTAACGATTTTTCGAATTTCTGAGAAATTTACGTTATCGCGGTATTTTAAAAGTATTTTGTTAGAAAACTGATCATTTTTTTTCGAATTTCTTTATTTGATTAGAATAATGTCTGAAGTATAAATCCATACCCAAAATATTTTTTGAGCCCCAAAAGCAGATCTTGTTCAAATTTTGGGTCAATTTAACGATTTTTCGAATTTTAAGGAAATTTACGTTATTGCGTTGTATTGAAATTATTTTGTTAGAAAACTGATTAATTTTTTTTCAAATGTCTTCAATTGATTGGAAAGATGTCTAAGGTATAAATCCATACCCAAAATATTTTTTGAGCCCCAAAAGCAGATCTTGTTCAAATTTTGGGTCAGTTTAACGATTTTCGAATTTCTAAGAAATTTACGTTATTGCGGTATTTTAAAAGTATTTTGTTAGAAAACTGATCATTTTTTTCAAATTTCTTTATTTGATTGGAAAGATATCTGAGCTATAAATCCATACCCAAAATATTTTTTGAGCCCTAAAGGCAGATCTTGTTCATATTTTGGGTCAATTTAACGATTTTTCGTATTTTTAAGAAATTTACGTTATTGCGTTGTATTGAAATTATTTTGTTAGAAAACTGATCAATTTTTTTTCGAATTTCTTTATTTGATTGGAAAGATGTCTGAGTTGTAAATCCATACCCAAAATATTTTTTGAGCCCCAAAGGCAGATCTTGTTCAAATTTAGTGTCAATTTAACAAACTTTTCATTTTTTCCTAAATATTACGTTATTTTATTTTAATAAATATAGTTTGTTGTACTTCTCCCTTGATCCTAAATGCTTTGTGTGATTAAATGCTACATAATAACGTTCAATTCACAATTCTACATCTCTGTGGTTGATAATTAAAAATATTTCGCAAAGTGGAAACACGTTTTTTTGACAACGTATATTTTGCTGCGGAATTTTGCTAGCATTTTGCTTATATGACAGTGGCGTGTGAATAGCATGGATCCAAATGAAAATCCGGTTGGTGCTGTCATTTAATGAGTACGGTGAGCCCTCCTCCCGCTTTGCACAGTTTCCTTGTTACCGGTATGATCTTTTCAATTTGTAACTCCATTGTGATAAGTGACACTATACCGGTACTGCTTTAGCATACAGGCATACTCCTGTACTCGTATACCGGGTACGGTACCCGGGGTCTGGTATAGTTTAGTACCACATCCACTTCTAGTTGGCCTGGCTCAACAATTTTTGCATATGTCAATCTTAACCCCCACCTGACTACGTCACCGAAAAATTACGTCATTCGACGTCACAGTGGCGTAATAAGGCTCACCGAAGTATGCGGATGGTTGTTTAAACGCAGACGATATCCCGAAATCGAGCAAGCTATTTCTCTCGTTTTCTCGTCGCAACGATCACGATAGGAGAGATATCGCCGGCTTTAGCAAGTTCTTATCGGCGGCGCAGATGCCATTTCGGGCGATCGTAATTATACTTTGTGGCATTTTTTGGATGGCATAGTCAGGTGAGGGTTAGGAATAACATATGCAAAAATCGTTATGCTACGCCCACTGGAAGTACTTGTGGTACTAAACTATACTAGACCCGGTACCGGTACCGTACCATACCTCAGTACGGGGGACGGACTAAAAGTAGGCACTTGCAAATTAGGCACTTCGGAAAAAAAGTAAAAAGGGCGTAATACCTTTTAAAAACATAATTAATTAGTTAAAAATGGTCAAATTAAATGTTGAAAACGCAAATTGCAACGGGCAAACTCAATAGCAATATTTAAAACGCAGTATCAAAGGCAGTCGCACGCGCTTGGTCACCACATATGCTAGGCACATATTTAGGCACTTCGAAAAATAAATAAAATGGCATATTCACTAATAAAAGACAGAGAAATAAACATATTACCCACACTGATTAGCCTGAGTAAATATCTAAGAGATGCACTTGAGTCTAGTACTGGAATTTAGAAATAATAAATTGTTACCGGTAGGCACTTTTTTAGGCACTTATTTAGGCACATCGAAAAAAAGGTGAAATGGACGTAGTAACTCCTAGAAAGATAATGAATTAGTTCAAAATATTTAAATTGAATGTTGAACGCGGAAATTGCAACAGGTAAACCCAATAACGATTTTTAAAACATAGTATTAAAGGGAGACGCACGCGCTCTGTCACCACATATGCTAGGCACATATTTAGACACTTCGAAATATAAAAAAATGGTAATTATCATGAATAAAAATACAGAAAATGAAAATACTAGTCAAAATAATTAGCCTATTTGAATATCCGATGAATGCACTTGAGTCTAGTAGTGATATTTGAGAATAATAAATTGTTACCGGTAGGCACTTTTTAGTCACTTATTTAGACACTTCTAAAATGCGTAAAATGGGCGTAATAACTTTTAAAATGATAATGAATTAGTTTAAAATATTTAAATTAAAAAATTAATATGCAAATTGCAACAAGTAAACCCAATGATATCGGTTTTTATATTTTGCATATTTGAAAATATCTTAATTCTTTACTTTGTAATTTTGTTTTTGATAAATTAAAATATATGAAATCCCCCGAAAAAAAGCCCTAGTGGTAATTTTAGGAAGAAATTTGAAATAAGACACTGTCTTAATTTCGGGGAAACACGGTATAAGGTGTCTACCGGTAACAATTTATTATTCTCAAATACCACTACTAGACTCAAGTGCATCTATTGGATATTCACCCAGTCCCAGGCTAATCATTTTGACTAATATTTTTAATTTTTTTATTGGTGATTATTCCCATTTTTTTTTTTCGATGTGCCTAAATATGTGCCTAGCATATGTGGTGACAGAGCGCGTGCGTCTCCCTTTAGTACTAAGTTTTAAAAATCATTATGGGGTTTAACTGTTGCAATTTTCACGTTCAACATTTAATTTAAATATTTTGAACTAATTCATTATCTTTGTAGGAGTTACTACGTCCATTTCACCTTTTTATCGAAGTGCCTAAAAAAGTGCCTACCGGTAACAATTTATTATTTCTAAATTCCAGTACTAGACTCAAGTGCATCTATTGGATATTTGCCCAGGCTAATCAGTGTGGGTAATATTTTCATTTCTCTGTCTTCTATTGGTGATAATTCCGATTTTCTTCTTTTTTCGAAGTGCCTAAATATGTGCCTAGCATATGTGGTGACCGAGCGCGTGTGACTACTTTTAATACTACGTTTTAAATATTGTTATTCGGTTCACCCATTGAAATTTGCGTGTTCAATATTTAATTTGACAATTTTCAACTAATTAATTATCATTTTAAAAGTTATTACGCCCATTTCACCTTTTTTTCGGTGTGCCTAAATAAGTGCCTACCGGTAACAATTTATTATTTCTAAATTCCAGTACTAGACTCAAGTGCATCTATTGGATATTTACCCAGGCTAATCAGTGTGGGTAATATTTTTATTTCTCTGTCTTTTATTAGTGATAATTGCCATTTTTTTTTTTTTTTTGAAGTGCCCAAATATGTGCCTAGCATACGTGGTGACAGAGCGCGTGCGTCTCCCTTTAATACTACGTTTTAAAAATCGTTATTTGATTTAACGGTTGCAATTTTCGCGTTCAACATTTAATTTAAATATTTTGAACTAATTCATTACCTTTTTAGGAGTTACTACGTCCGTTTCACCTTTTTTCCGAAGTGCCTACCGGTAACAATTTATTATTTCTAAATTCCAGTACTAGACTCAAGTGCATCTATTGGATATTTACCCAGGCTAATCAGTGTGGGTAATATGTTTATGTCTCTGTCTTTTATTAGTGGTAATTGCCATTTTCTTTATTTTTCGAAGTGCCTAAATATGTGCCTAGCATATGTGGTGACCAAGCGCGTGCGACTGCCTTTAATACTACGTTTTAAATATTGTTATTGAGTTTGCCCGTTGCAATTTGCGTTTTCAACATTTAATTTGACCATTTTTAACTAATTAATTATGTTTTTAAAAGGTATTACGCCCTTTTACTTTTTTTCCAAGGTGCCTAAATAAGTGCCTAAAAAAAGTGCCTAATTTGCAAGGGCCTACTTTTAGTCCGTCCCTCAGTACGGTACCTACTGCAATTACAGAATTAAACAAATGGTTTCTACTTCAGATTAACTACTATTAATCTATCTACTATTCAGATTAATGACAAGTGATTTGTAGGCATAATAGTAGCTTTGGTTTCTTTCAGCAATATACAAATATAAGAAAAATGGATGACTCGGGCCACTCTGAAACATCAGAAGATGAAAGTTTGAGTGAAACAGACACAGTTATTGGTAAAAACGACGGGCAAAATATGTCAATGGAGGAAATGATGAAATTAAGAGAAAAACTGGGATCTAAGGTTTTTGATAAAAAATTTATTTCAAGAAATAAGAATAAGGAAAGTGGTAATTCTAAGGATGATAACAAACAAAGTGGGAGTAACTCAACCAGTAAAAATTTTTCAAGAACAAACAAAAATCGACCGCAGGAAGTATCATCAAAAAGACCTGTAGGTCGATATTCAAGGCGTAAAGGTGATCAAGAAACAAGGGATCCACGATTTGACGAAATTTGTGGTTCAAAATTCAATCAAGATGTATTTGATGCTAGATTTTCATTTTTATCAGATGTTCGTGGAAAAGAGAAAAAAATTCTTGATAAAAAATTTAACAGGGCGAAAACATCAGAAGAAAAACGAAAGATCAAATTACTTTTAAATCGTATGAATAATCAGGAACGTGAAAAACTCAAAAGAAATGAGGAAAAACTGGTCATACAAAAATGGAGGAAGGAAGAAAAGGGAAAAGTTTCTCAAGGAAAAAGACCATATTTTCTTAAGGATAGTGATAAGAAAAAACTTATCAAAGAATATAGACTGCAAAATCCATCTAATAAAGTTGATAAACCCAAGAAGTCTAGAAGAGATCAAAGAAAGTTTTCAGGTCAAATGGAATCACCAGCAAGCACGGTATGAATGCGATTCATATTAATCCTATTAAAGTAGAATCGAAACTCCTCTTGGCATGTAATGAAAGGTCTATGTTTAACCTCTGTGACTTGTACTAAATTAGAAAGAAGATTTAGACCAGTGGTTGCCAAAATGTGGGGCGTGCGGAGAAAGAAGTAAGACTCCAATATTGGACAATGGACATTCAGACTCATTACAATCATTTGTGCACAGAAACATGCTCGAATGATTAATGATGATATAAATATATTAACGGAGTTAAACTCCTCTTCCAACGTGTCATAACCTGTAATGTGGAAAATATATACATCATGACTTGAATGAAGTTTGGGAACCTTTGTATCTAGATTTTATTACTAGTTCAGGATATAAAATTTATATGTTGCGGCGATAAATATATATATGCATTCCAAAACTTGGAGCCACTGTCTGCAGAAGCCATTCACTCGACTCCTGCGTTATTGGGTTGACACACGCTTATTTGAGCACAGTTCTGATCTGAACTCCTCAGAAGTCAATAAGCACACAACAGATTGAATGCCAAATGTTCGTATATTGTGAAGATGCACAATCGAATCCACATTTTGGCAACGTTTCTAGTGCTTTTTGACAGTTTTTCACTGTTTTTGCACGTGTCTCTAACTATGAAATTTTCTTATCTCATATTCTCATAGCAACAGGAATACTGATTCATTGGAATTAACTACATCATTATTTTTGGATGGATGTTTTATACAGAACTACATTAGCTCCTATTTAAATATTTTGTGTTGAATTCTTATTTACAGTAATCTACGAGTTTATTGATGATTTCAGTCATTTTTTTTAGTATAAATTTGCCACAAATATGCGTATTGCTATAGGAATAATAATTACCAACTATTAGTTTATGTGCTGATTTCGTGATTTTTTTATTTAGTGTTGAAAATCATGACTTGGTTATTTTTTCTGTAAAACATGTTTTTGTGATATTCATCTCATTATTTACATTGTTTGAGATAAATATTTTCTGTTTATGTCTCCAAGGATTCACCAGATTTTTGTTTTCACTCTTGGTGGTATTTGAATTATTATGGCCTGGTAATAATAATCAGAAATGGTTTATTAATTTGTGGATGACAAATATAATTTTGGCATAAATCTTCATTGATATATATATGTACATTCATAAAGTGAAATATCTATAACTAAAGAGTAAACTACTCTATAAATATGGTGCTAATGGCGAAGGAATCTTCTGCTATAAGAGAAGTCACTGAAGATTCTCCAGCTTCAAAAAAGGAAGAAACGGTTGTGTTTAAAGACAAAAAATGTGTTGTTCAGAAAGTACAAATATCTGGATTGAAAAAGACTAAAAGTGATTTTGTATTGCCTGAACTAGAGCAAGTAATGCAATCATCAACATTTGTCACAGCCTATCAAAGTGCTTTAGATTGTAAGAAGAAATTGTTGAATTTGGGAATTTTCGATCATGTGGATATTATAATGGATACGACTTCACATTACAAAGGTAACAAAGTTCCGAATGGGATACAAATCCTTTTTAGGGTGAAAGAAAAACGATCATTAACTGGAGAAGCGAGAACCGAAATGTCGAATAACGATCAACCTCAGTGGGTTATAAGGCTAATGTCTCCGAATGTGTTTGGCCGTGGTGAAATGCTATCTGCAACGTTTTCAAGAAAGTTAGGTTCAGAATCCGTTTCTGGAAATGGATTTTATTCTCCGCATGATTTTAGCTTTGCTGCTTCAAAACCGTTTAAAAATGGATCACTATTTCGAATGTCAATTCTACAAGACAGGCAGGATTGCCCATGGAATTCCACATCTTTGACAGTCAGAGGTGGTCAGCTTGAATATCAATTTCCCCTTTTTAATAATACTCACACACTCGCATATCATGCTCATTGGAGAGATCTTGCAAGCTCAAATAATACCACAGCTTTTCCTATCAGAGAGAATTTTGGGCACACTGCTAAGTCATCCTTATTACATTCAGTAACAATGGACAGAACAGATGACAAAATTCTTCCTTCAAAGGGGTATATGATCAAAATGACAGAAGAACTTGCTGGTGTCGGCATTGGATCTAAATACATAAAAGAAAACATGGAATTGCAGTTTCACAAAACATTATTTCGTCGCCTAACATTATCAGCAGGTTTTCGTGGGGGATTCATTGTGCCATTTGACAATGAACAGACTCAAATTCCAGATAGATTTTTTATTGGAGGTCCATTGACATTGCGAGGGTTTGATATGAATCGTGCGGGGCCACAAGTAGATGGCGATTTCTTGGGTGGAAATTGCTACTGGGTAGCTGGCCTCCATGCATATTTGCCTCTTCCATTCTATTGGAGGAATTTTGGGAAAGGATCTTGGTTGGATGGATTCAGAATCCATGGATTTTTTAATGCTGGAAACGTTCTAACATTTGATAACAATCAAATGATACGAAATCAATTGTCTTGTTTAGCTGAAAATATCAGGACCTCATATGGTGTTGGTTTGGTTTATAATTTTATGCGCGGTGCGAGAATTGAACTGAATTTTTGTGTGCCAAGTTCAGTTGTCGCTGGTGATAAAGTATGTGATGGTGTGCAGTTTGGTATTGGATTAAGCACTGTATAATTAAATTTAGAAATTTGAATTAATAATCTAAATTCTGATTAAATAATGCCATATATGAATCTTAATGTAATATTTGCATTTCTATTGACAATATGACTGGTTGACAAGTTTGATGTTCGAAACTTGTATATCTATCTTTTACCTTAAACGTTACAAATTCCAGTTTAATTGAATCGAAGAATTTTTTAAATTCTACCACTTTTGAAAATCATGACTTTGTGCATGTTTACGATATATTACAATTTCAGAAAGTCCTGTTCCTCAATGTGAGCAGCAAAACTTGCTGTACGACTTTTTTTTTGCAATCACATCTTGCTGTTTTTATTTGCTCGTGAATTGTAATGTTATCAGATGAAAAAACAACCATGTTAAAGTGTTAACTTCTCTAATTCTGGGATTTGAAAGGGAATTGATGCGTTTTTGTTTCAAATATTTTTGCTGCCGGCACCAAGTGATCTACAAATCCATCAGATTTGTACTTAGTCGTACTGATGCAGACTATAGTAATATTTATTTATCATCATCACCATGTGTAAATCAAAACAAAATTAAGCAAAACATTGGTAATCACTGGAATGGCAGAATCGATTCTTAGAGTTAAAACTTGGATTGCAAACAAAGTATAACGTTTTGTGGCACATATATGTATGAACCGCTATGTGGAGTTGCTACTACGCCGCAAACTTCACTATATTTCTGCACTCTTCTCCCACTCGTTCGTTCGCGCGGGTCAAGGACATGGCCACGTTTCATTTCTATATTTTTGTGTCCTACCTAATACATTCATAACTCCTATTTACTTGAAGCAAGATGCATTGGGAAAACGATAGGATTTACATATTTATCCCGGGGGCCGATAAAACTAAATCTTATGGCGAACCACGGCCTCTCGTCTGGTTACCAGTCCATGTCGGGTATGGGATTAGTTTGTCAGTTATTTGTTTTCGGAAGCATGGACTTGATGGTGGAGGAAGCCGTAACCGACCAGCGATTACGTGAACCACCCTACGGCGGCGAGGAGTCCAGCAATTCTCTCGCACATGACCACGTGGGATTCAAACCTGCGAAGGGTAATCATAGATGCGGTGGTGGTATTCCTAACGCTTAGCACGATGGGCCACTCGCCGATCCGAAAAGTGAAACGCCTTTTGCAATTTTAAGTATATAGGAAATGTTTACATCGCAATCCAGCAGACCGGAGTAGAAAAATATCGCTTCAATAGAAAGAATGAAGCATATATTAAAAATCTCATAAATGATGACATTGGTGGAGGCTTCAGTTGAGATGTCAAAATATTTGAATGACAGAAATTTCGCATATCAGCGATCCCAGGAGAAATGTTACAATGGTAGCAACAAAACAAAAAATACAATCCAAACATCGCATTTGTCGTCCAAAAGTACCGCTGTGCCCCATCAGCATTCGCTTCATCAGAAGGAGCATTTAGCTCAGCGGAGCTCACTGTCTCCAACTTGCAATCGAGGCTCACAGGAAGGCATGTGATCGAATTGAACTTCAGATTGCAATAGATTTTTGCTTGCTACGACAGTGAACGGACATTCAGATCGTTTTGTTATTATGTTTTTGTTGTTGTTCTCAGAATTCATTTTTTTTTCTATTGTTATAAAAAAATAACTTTTTTTCCCCTACTGGAACTATTGCTTTGAAATTTTCAGTGATTAAAAATTGTAATCGTTTCTCGAGAGCAGGGTCGTCCAACATAAAAAAATTATTCTACGTCATTCAAACACGCGAGGAGCACCACCCTGCTATCGAAAGCTTATTTATGTCCCTTTGTGAGCGTTATTGCTGGAGAGAGATGTTTGAATTTATTTTTATCGTCTGCCATGTATTTCAATCTGTTTTTTTCTTCTTTTTCTGTGAAGCTAGAAGAGGCAGTTTTGATGACCTCAATATTTGACAGTACTTAGGCTACTTGTACGAGCAAGTTTGTCGCGGATGACCATGTTAAATCCCCCGTGAGATCACTAATTTCTGACAGTCATATGAAAAATTCGCTATGCATTGCAACATCGTCCATCGCCCCCAACATTGACAACCTTCATTGGGTAAAAGCGGCGTCATACTTGACATTGAAATATCTATGTGTGATAAAAACTTGACTTAACTGTATCTTCGTATTTTCGTCGTTTTTATAATTTTTTTGTTCGTTTTTTCATTAATCTGTAGCCGGTGTAGTGAAAACTAGAACATAACAACCATGCCAAGTGGCCCGCGCAATCATTCGTAAATTAAATGTGACCCTTTGGGCAAAAAGGTTGGACAACCCTGCTCTAGAGTCTAGTAGGCTATTGCGTTTATTTTATGTATTTCAAAAATTTATATGGGCTCTAAGCTGTTCTAAGGGATACGTTTTTTGTGTGCGGTTTTGGTTTTTGTGTTCATATATTTGAACATCGCTCTCTTGTTCGATTTCATGTGTTATTGCCTAAGTGGGTATGTTTTCTCGGCAAGCTATGCCGAGGGATCGGAATCGAAAAATAGGAATCGGATAAGAATCGAATACTTGTAAGTAGTCATGCTTAGCACCCTTAGTAATCATTAGTGAAAATTTAGGCAAAATCATTTTTATCTAATAAGCTTAACGTTCTAAATTGCTGAGGATAACCATTAGAGTTAGACCAAGAGTCTGCAAGTTGTCTTCATGTGGTTCGCGTAACCGCTCCTCGATTGCTAGTCTCAGTTTCTTCGCCATCCAAATGAATGCGTTCCGAAACAGTAATACAGAAGTTTTTCTCAATGTTTGCTGTTTTACTTGGGCGCAGTATGTTCCCCAGCTTTTGATTTTAGGGGGGGTGTTTCGAAATTTAGGGGGTGGTTTGCTATTAGCGATGAAACTATTTGTATCGTTAAAAAAAAATTGGTATGTATTTAAGAAACGATGTACATGAGGGGCTCCCCAAGTTGATTGACGGCGAGCCAAAATACACAGCAGAAGAAAATTGTAGGGCCAGAAAAGAAGAGCGCGAAAAAGTGCGCGACGACACGGCTGGGGTTCAGGGCGCGCTTAAGCGGCCTGAGAAAATTTTGAGAAATAAGCTCCTAAATAGGCTCTAAGCTTGATTTTAGATACACCTAGCATTGCAGTTTGTTATGTAATAAAATTAATAATTATAATATTTAGATGATAGAATTCCCGAGAAATAAATAACAAGCATGGCTTTCAGCAATTAATTTGCAACTGATAGTGACTAATGAAGTTACTTGCTCATCTAGCATATGGCATCGTATGAATGGCTACTTATGGCTTGTTTTGTTACACATTTCACATTTTTTTGAACCTTTTTTTTTTTTGTCTTTTGTATGAATTAAGCAATGAATTAAATTTTGAAATACGCGCGTCAACTGATCATAATGGACCTTTCCCTGACCTTTAACCCCCGAAAAATTCTTCCTATAATTTACCATTGCAAAATTTTCAGTACTATTTTAGGAGTGCTTTTACGAGTTGGCGCCTGTAGAATGGGGTATGTGTTTCAAACCATCTTTATGATTCATCGCACACAACAATCTGTTTTTTAAAAGTACCGGTAAAGAATTTCAGACTAGTCTATCACAGCTATTTCTACGCTAATTTTTATTACTGCAATTAAATTAAAACTCCTAGGAAGACAGAGTGATCATTGAATTATCTGATTTTTATTTAAGTTTCCGAAACACAACTGAAAACTAACGAATAGAGTTTAAAAACGCGAAAACGAGGTAATGTTTACAACCACGCTTGAAAATCTGTCTGAGTGAGAAAAGTGTCTGAGCGGATGCGAAAAGGGGGGCATTGTTACGTCACTTTCTGCATCTTGCTGATTGGCCAATGTCACGAAGTAAACAAGGAAGTCGATGCTCGGGGAAAGGTCCATGGCTCATAATGTTGTTTCGCTGAAGTTTGATTCTTTCCAATAAAGAAATAAAAAATGTCTGTTTTCAGTGCCTAGGTTTTAGGCTAGTGCCTAAATTTTTTTCTTGGTGTTCGAAATTTTAGGGGGGGTGTGGGGAAATCACTGCTTGGGCGAGTGCCAGTGGTCAAAACCAGATGTGTACGAATTGTGGAGCCGATAACGGAGACTGGATAGAAAATAAGTTTGAAAAATTCAGATCAGAAAATTCAGGTCATAAATAATTTTCGAAGCGATACATGAATTTCGCGATAAATATCAGAGAGATAAATATCTTTCAGTTGTAAGTTTGTAACACTCCACACTGTTTGTTTAATGAGTTCTGAACGTTCCTAGAATCTACAAATAGCATGTATTAAATGGCCTTGTTCGTCATTGCTCCTCGCAAATTGATAACGCCATACCGGTATTTCAGATGAAAATATACAAGGCTATTACGTACAAATTCCAATGCATCGATAAGGAGGATTCGATCAAGTCTCGCGCTCCACCTCAAAAATAACTAGCTCGCAATACCACAAATAACAGTTAGTAAGGCGAAAGTATGTTTTATTCGATAAACATGTCGTCAGACTAATGAAAGAATTGCATAGGTCAAATTTTAACATTTTGAGTAAATCAAAAAAACTTCATAACTTTCTCATTTTTCGATCTATTTCAAATTTTTTTATCTAGATTTATCTTATCGAATTTTTAAATATTTTAGAATATCTATAACTTCCAAATTCTATTTTATATGCGCTAAAATTGACTTGGGCATTTTTTTATTCCCGCGCTCTGAGATAGGCAATATTATTCACATCTTCGCCCTTTCTCTGTACATTCGCTTGACCTATATACTTTGTAAAAGTCCATTCAGCAAATAATGATAGAGTGACTTCAATTAAATTAATATGACACGAAAGCCAAGTCAAAAGTTCGATATTCCTCCTTAATCATAATTCGGCTTTGATGAACATTAGAAAAGATGTCAGCCCACAGGCCAGATGTATTGTATTCAATTGATACAAGGAATGTAAAATTTCACAATTCAAACAATATAATAGAATCCAAACATAAATAACTCTTTTGAACCTAAAACATCAACATAAACAAACAACTGTAATCATGAATTTATAGTAGTATACTTCATTTAAGTTTGTATAATCTACTCGTGAGAAAGGTTGTCATAAAAATGATGACAGGCAATTGGCATAATTGATTTCATTTCTTGAAGATCATTAAATTTCCTTGCACAAACTGGAATACGAGATCTGAACATTGGCACCCATTGACTTTGAACATTCTGTACACGATGTGGTAGCGCTTTCCAAATCGCTTTCTCAAACGAAAGCTCGTAACGAATACTACCGTCACTTTCGTACTTCAGGGCACGCAAATCATGCACTCTGGGATCTCCTACTCTTTTCCGGGTCTAAAGCTTTGTAGGTACAATTGATTCATTCTTTTGAAATCAAT